GATCACGAGGTCAGGAGATCGAGACCATCCTGGCTAACACAGTGAAACCCCGTCTCTACTAAAAAATGCAAAAAACTAGCCGGGCGATGTGGCAGGCGCCTGTAGTCCCAGCTACTCGGGAGGCGGAGGCAGGAGAATGGTGTAAACCCGGGAGGCGGAGCTTGCAATGAGCTGAGATCCGGCCACTGCACTCCAGCCTGGGAGACAGAGCGAGACTCCATCTCAAAAAAAAAAAAAAAAAGAAAAAAGTGAAAACAAGAGAAAGTAATAGATCTCTTTCACAAATGTGCTGGGACAACTAACTGGATATTCACATGGAAAAGAATAATGCTGGATCCCTATCTCACACCATGAAAAATTTTATTTAAAAACGGTAAAAACAAAAGAAAAAACACACACAAGGCCAGCCGCAGTGGCTTACATCTGTAATCCTAGCAGTTTGGGAGGCTGAGACCGGCGGATCACGAGGTCAGGAGATCCAGACCATCCTGGCTAACATGGTGAAACCCCCTCTGTACTAAAAAATGCAAAACAGACGGGCATCATGGCGGGTACCTGTAGTCAAAGTTACTGGAAAGACTGAGGCGGGAGAATGGTGTGAACCCAGGAGGAGGTGCTTGCAGTGATCCAAAATCTTGCCACTGCACAGCCAGAGAGAGACAAGGAAGGGAGCCCTACGGGAGGGGGTGTCAGTTTGTCGCCCAGACTGGCCTGGACCCCCAATTTCAGCGATTCTCCCGCTGCTGCTGCTTGAGTAGCTGGGACCTCAGGCTTCAGCCCCGTGCCTGCAACCTTGTTTTGTTTAAGCAGCAAGTGGCGACCTCACTCCTCCCTGGCCTGAACACTCCGTCCCTCTTCCCAGGGGGAGGCCCTAGGGGAGTCTCTGAAGCTGAGCACAGGGTGGACTCTCCCTCTGCAGTGAATGGAGACTAGAAATGGAGAGGATTTCTATTCTGTTCTGTGGGCTGTCAGCATGAAATCCTAGTTCCGCCCAGGCAGGGCTTTGCATTTCACATTCTAGTTTGCATGCCCGTTCCAGACAATTCCAGGGCTTTTGAATTATGCCTTAGCCTTCCTGGCCGCTCTCACCTCCAAAAACCTAGAAAACAGAGACGCTGGGTCCCGCCCTGGCCCGGCTGTCTGCGGGTTCTAAAGGGCAAGGTCTCTCCGCCCCTACCCCGCCCAGGCCCCGCTACACTGCTTGCGGGCCCCGCCCAAGCCTGGCTTCTGTCCTGCGCGCGCAAACCCGGAAGGGGATTCCGTGGAGTGAAGGTCCTACCGCGGCGCGTGAGTTTCCCTCTGTCTTGTGTTAAGTATGCCCTTCCCAGGTCCCTGGCGCTTCTGTCCCTGGGACGTGGGGTTCCCACGGACCTGGAAATTCTTGCCTTTCTTCCTTCACCCAGAGAAAACTGAGACGTCCCCTTAAGAGTCCAGGAGTTGCTTCCTTCTGGGGTTGAAGTCGTCCGGAGGCTGGTCCCCTACCCGGTCTTTCTGTTATAGGGCAGTGTATACACTTCCTATAGCGCAGTTTTCCTGGTCAAAACCTTGTTCTGACTCCTCGCACCCCATGCTTTTTAAAGTCCTCATCCGCGAGGTGGATTCCCGCCCTGAGCGCCTCCAGGCTCGCCTCCCAGGCTCCCGGCCCCAGTCCCGGGAAGGCTGCGTCTTCTTCCTGGGTCCTGGGTGCCTGCAGGGGCCACCCTTGTCTTAAGGCGCCGTTGCCCCCCAGGTCCCTCCTTGTGCCGGGCCCTGCTGCTCCCCAAGTCTTCCCTCTGCAGTCACCGCTTTCCCTGAATCAGCGTTGGGCAGGTCCCAGGGGCTTGCCCTATGACACCGGGTATTCTTGCCTGCCCAGCTCCACGCCCCCGGAAAATGCGCTTCTCCGGGATGCAGGCGTCTTACTTCAAACCCCCAGAGTGGTGCTGGTGGCCAGGAGAACAGGGAGAACCACGGAAGGAAGGACACTTGGGTTTTTGGGGTGCTAGAGAGTGGGGACAGGGGAATGTAACAGGGAAGAGAGAATTTAACAGAGCAGAGGAGACGCAGAGATAAGAGGCGGTAAAATATAGAGATTGAGGGTGATCAAAAGATTGGGGAGAAGGGCAACAAGAGGTTAAATAAGGACCGACGGAGTTTTGCTCTTGTTGCCCAGGCTAAAGTACAACAGCGTGATCTTGGCTCACCGCAACCTTCACCTCTGGGGTTCAAGTGATTCTTCTGTCTCAGCCTCCTGAGTAGTTACGATTACAGGCGAGCACCACCATGGCTGGCTAATTTTGTATTTTCAGTAGTGATGGGGTTTCTCCATCTTGGTCAGGCTAGTCTTGAACTCCTAACCTCAGTGATCCTCCTGCCTCAGCCTCCCAAGGTGCTGGGATTACAGGCATGAGCCGCCATGCCCAGCCTTTAATTTTTTTTTTTTTTTGAGACACTCTTACTGTTTCACAGGCTGGAGTACAGTAGCAGGATCACAGCTCAGTGCAGCGGCAACCTCCTGGGCTCAAGTGATTTTCCCACCTCAGCCTCTGGAGTAGCTGGGACTGGAGGAGTAGCCTGGCTAATGTTTATATATATATATATTTATTTATTGAAACTCTCTTTGTCACCCAGGCTGGAGTGCAGTGGTCTCACTGCAACCTCCACCTCCTGGAGTCAAGAGATTCTTGTGCCTCAGCCTCCTGAGTAGCTGGGGTTATAGGTGTGCACAACTATGCCCTGCTAATTTTTCTATTTTTAGTAGAGACCTGGTTTCTCCATGTTGGCCAGGCTGGTCTCGAACTCCTAACCTTGTGGTCTTCCTGCCCCGGCCTCCCAAAGTGCTGGGATAATAGGTGTGAGTCACCATGCGTGGCCTCATTGTTTTCAAAGTATGATATATTTTCAGATATTTCTCCTTTTACCCAAGATTTCATTAGATCTATATTTTTTAACCATTTTAAAATTGTTTCTCTATGAAATTGTGTTCAGTTTACATTGAGAACTGTGTGCTTTCTAGTCTTTATCATATATCGAAACCATTTTCTACTATGTGATATATGATTTTAGGTTGTTTCAGTGTGTACTTGATAATGATATCAGGGACCTTTTTTCTTTACCCTAACATGAAAATTTAGTTGAAGTAGCCTATTCCATTTTCTTTTGTCATCAGAAAAAATGGTGATCTGTGAGCTTCTAAGTAAGTGTCTCCCTCAAGTTCCTCTGGTCCGTAATATTCTCTACAGATGTTGAAGGATGGGTTGGATTGACTTGGAACCTTGGTTTAGCAGAGCCCATATGTTCATGAGAAAAGCATTTGCTCAGATCTCATTTCTACAGCTGCCTCTTTTTTAGTGTTTCAAAGACCTATTGCTATGTGTGCACAGTCGTGCATATTTTGAACATTTTTTTGGGAGTGAGTAATTATACGTTTGGGATTGATGCCATCAGAACCTTACAACTTGAAAGAAGTTTGCTTTGCTCAGGTATATAAAAGATAGTCCTGGAATTTTTTTTTGTTTGTTTGTTTTTCTTTGAGATGGAGTCTTGCTCTTTCACCTAGGCTGGAGTGCAGTGGCATGATCTCAGCTCACTGCAACCTCCACCTACCAGGTTCAAGCAATCCTTTTGCCTCAGCCTCTCAAGTAGCAGGGACTGTAGGCGTGAACCCCCAAACCTGGCTAATTTCTGTATTTTTAGTAGAGATGGGATGTCACCATATTGGCCAGGATAGTGTCGAACTCCTGACCTCGTGATTCACCCAGTTTGTCCTCCCAAAGTGTTGGGATTACAGGTATGAGCTACCTTTTCTGGCTGCCTTTTTTTTTTTTTTTTTGTAAGATCAAGTGTTACCCTGTCACCCAGGCTGGAATGCAGTGGCACAATCTTAGATCACTGCAACCTCTGCCCCCCAGCCTCAAGTGATCTTGCATCATCCTCCCAAGTAACTGGGACCACAGATGCATGCCATGAGCTCTGGCTAATTTTTTGTATTTTTGGTAGAGATGGGGTTAACTATGTTGCCCACGTTGGTTTCAAACTTCTAGGCTCAAGTGGTCTGCCTGCCTCAACTACCCAAAGTGTTGGGATTACAAGGGTGAGTCACCACTCCTGGCTAGTCTTGGAATTTTCTAGAGGGGAAGACCAAGGCAGCCTATTGGGCCTTCCAGGCCATCACATGGGAATCAGCCACAACTCCTTCCTCCTCACCTCGGAGCTTCTCAGGATAACTTGGGGAGATGTCTCCTGCCGTGAGCCTCGGTGAGCCCACCTGGAACATAGAGGTGAGGAATACGACCAGGAAAGCTCAGTCAGAGTGACACTGACCCCTGAAATGACTGACAAAATACAGTGTGTGGCTTTTCTTCTGGGAGAGGTTACTACTCATTTTAAACTCAAATTTCAAGTGGATTCCAGCTCTCCAAGATGAGCAAAAACAGGGGATTAGACTCAAATCACCTTGAACCTTATCATCTCAGAGCTTTCAGCCACCTACACGACTCCATGTCCCCTGCAGGCCTCGCCACTGAGCTTTACAATCCTGTGTCCAATTGTCTCCTCAGCTCTCTCCTGGGACATCAAACAGGCATCCCCACCTTCAGGTGTCCACGAGTGACTTCCTAAATCCCCAAACACATTCCCTTGCAGTCTGCACAGCTCAGTTGAGAGTGACTGTGTTCTTCCAGAAACTTAGCCGAACTTGACAGTATGTGTTTTAAATATGGAAAATAAATTACATTATTTGTAAGTGTTGTAATTTATCATATAAAGAGAAACTTACATGTATATGTGAAAAGAGTGAGAAGATACATCACTTCCAATTTTTTTTTTTTTTTAAGGCAAATTTTCACTCTTGTGGGCCAGGGGGAGTGCAATGGCACGATCTCGGCTCACTGCAACCTCTGTCTCCTGGGGTCAAGGAATTCTCCTGCCTCAGACTGCCGAGTAGCTGGGATCATAGTTGACTTTCAAAATTCTTTTGGGTTGTGGGAGAAAAATGTTTGAAGACTGTATCCCTATGTGTCTGTGCCCCCAGGACCTCTCTGACCTCATCTACCTGTGCCCTCCTCTCTTCCACTGCTCCAGCCACATGGGTCGCTTTCCTTTTCCTGCTGCTGAGGTTGCTCCTGTCTCAGGGCCTTAGCTTGAACTGTCCCTCTGTCTAGGACTCTCTGCCCCTCAGCTGCAGGTGACAAGCAGCCTTTCTTTGCTAGGTCTGTGTTCTGATATCATCTTCTCCGGGTTTCCTTTGTGATCTCCCACAGCCCCCCATTTGACATTGCAGCTGTGAAACCAGAAAATCTTACACAGATCTCAGTTAATTTAGAAAGTTTATTTTGCCCAAGGTGGTCGGGGCAGAGCTTCATTTTACACATATTATGGAGACATGAGGCATCAGTCAGTACATGTAAGAAGTACATTGGTTTGGTCTGCATGGTGGCCAACTTTAAACAAAGGCAGGAAGACTTGAAGCAGGGCGGGGGCTTCCAGGTCACAGAGAACTGAGGCACAAATGGTTGCAATCTTCTGAGTTTCCTTTTTTTTTTTAGATGAAGTCTCATTTTGTCACCTAGGCTGGAGTGCAGTGGCAGGATGTCGGCTCCCTGCAGCCTCTGCCTCCTGGGTTCAAGTGATTCTCCTGCCACAGCTTCCCAAGTAGATGCCCCTATCATTTCTGTATTTTTAGTAGAGATGGGGTTTCACCATGCTGGCTGGGCTGGTCTCCATGTCTTGACCCCAAGTGATCTACCTGCCTAGGCCTCCCATAGTGCTGGGATGACAGACAGTCCTGAGCCACTGTACTGGGTCCTTCTTTTGAGTTTCTGATTAGCCTTTCCAAAGGAGGCACTCAGATGTGCATCTATGTCAGGGAGCAGAGGGGTGACTTTGAATAGAAGGGGAGTCTTGTTCCCTAAGCAGTTTCCACCTTGACGTTTCTCTTTTGCTTAGTGATTTGGGGCCCCAAGGTTTATTTTCCTTACAGCCCAACCTTCATCCCACCTCTGGTCCACATTTACTGTTCTGTGTGATTTTTTTTTTTTTTTTGAGATGGAGTCTTGGTCTGTCACCCAGGCTGGAGTGCAGTGGTGGGATCTCAGCTCACTGCAAGCTCTGCCTCCCACTTCAAGCAATTCTCCTGCCTCAGGCTCCTGAATAGCTAGGATTACTGGTGCCCACCACCATGCCCAGCTAACTTTTGTATTTTTAGTAGAGACAGTGTTTCACCATGTTGACCAGTCTGGTCTTGAACTCCTGACCCCGTGATCCACCCATCTCTGCCTCCCAAAGTGCTGGGATTATAGGCGTGAGCCACCGTGCCCGGCCTCACTGTGATTACTTTTGTGCCTTTGCCATCCACTGTCTGGATCCTGGTGAGAACAAGGCCCCAAGGGAAGAGCAGAGCCAGAACGTGGGGCTGTGCTGGGCTCGCCCCTCTGAGTGGAGCTCAACCCTGGCTTCACATTGGACTGCAGAGCATTTTACAAATAGAGCTTTTGTACTGCTTTAGCAGGGATTCTTATTCTGAAGGGATGGAGCCCACCCTCAGTAATAGCTGCAGTGGCCCAGGTGCTTGTCATCTGTGTGCAGCATTGAGCATCGAAGCTCTGTGTCCCCCGTTTCTGAGGGCTGAGCTCAGCCTGTGATCCACAGAGAGATGAGGGGCTGTCCTCTGGATGGGGTTTGATGGTGAGATCTGAAGACCGGGGTCAAACATACACTTACAGGTCTTCCTGTGGGGCTTTCTTATCTCTGCATGGTCTCTGGTGCAGTGGGCAGTGGGGGACCATCTTTCTACAGGGTGAGGTCTCCCCTGTTCATGTGTTTTTGTCACAGGAAGGGAGTGAGTCATTTCTAACATGAAGTCTCACTTTTTTTTTTTCACATACAGGATTGATTTCTAAAGACTCAGGTTACGTGAGGAAGCAGCTGAGAAGAGGAAAGGAAAGGAGCCAGGCATGGCCTTTCCTCAGGTGAAGTGATGTTCCTCTGGGGATTAATCTGTCTCTTTCCTTTCTGAAATGCCAGGAATTGTAGTAGCCAGTCTTTTGTGAGTCTGAAGCATTTTACCTAACAGGTTCACTCACACTCACCCATGCCTGCCCTCAATTCCTGGCACCTGCTCTGAGATTCTGTCTCCTGTGACCCAGTGACATGAACTTGGGAAGAGGCTCTACTGGGCATGGTTGTGGGAAGGGCTCACACCCCATCTCTACTAAAAATACAAAAATTAGCTGCATGTGGTGGTGCATATCTGTAATCTCAGCTGCTCAGGAGGCTCAGGCAGGAGAATCACTTGAATCCGGGAGGTGGAGGTTACCGTACACCGAAATTGTGCCACTGCATTCCAGCCTGGGAAATGGCGTGAGACTCTGTCTCAAAAGAAAAAAGAGAGAGAAAGAGAAGGTGTCACTCTGTGGCTTCGTTCTGGAGTACAATGGCACAATTCAGAGTTTACAGCAGCCTTAAACTCCTGGGCTCAACTAATCCCTAATTTAACCCCCCAAAGAGCCTGAATAATAGACATGGGTCACCGTATGTATATATGTATGTATGTACATATTTCTTTATTTTAAGATGGAGTCTCACTCAGTCACTAAAGCTGGAGTGCAATGGTACCATCTTGGCTCAATTTAACCTCCCCCTCCCAGTTTCAAGCATTTCTTCTACCTCAGCCTCCCAAGTTGCCTGGACTACAGGCACGCACCACCACACCCAGCTAATTTTTGTATTTTTAGTTGAGACGGGGTTTCATCATGTTGGTTAGGCTGGTCTGGAACTCCTGACCTCATGATCTGCCTGTCTCAGACTCCCTAAGTGCTGGGATTAAAGGTGTGGGCTACTGTGTCCAGTCTTATTTTTTATATTATATTTTTATTTTGTTGTCCAGGCTGGAGTGCATGGTGCAATCATAGCTCACTATAGCCTTGATATCCTGGCCTCAAGTGATCCTCCCGTCTTGGCCTCCCAAATTGCTGACATTCTTGATGGCAGATAGCCAGCCCGGCCTGACTCTGCACGTTTTTGAGATGGAGTCTCGCTCTGTTGCCCAGGTTGGATTGCAGTGGCATGATCTCAGCTCACTGTAACCTCTGCCTTCTGGCTTCAAGCAATTCTTTTGCCTCAGCCTCCCGAGTAAGGCATTTGCTGCCACGCCTTGCTAATTTTTTTTTTTTTTTTGAGACAGAGTCTTGCTCTGTCACCCAGGCTGGAGTGCAGTGGCGCAATCGCAGCTCACTGCAAACTCTGCCTCCCGGGTTCATGCCATTCTCCTGCCTCAGCCTCCTGAGTAGCTGGGACTACAGGTGCCCACCACCACTCCTGG